TACAGCTGAGGTTCCTCCAAGGTTCTCTTACTTTTCTGCAGCTTTCCTTTGTCCTCTTCCAATACCATGACTTCAGTTCTACCTCCATGACACTCAGAACACACGCGCGTGCGCGCGCACACCCACACACCCCCACACACACACCCACACACTCCAACAGTAACTGTCGCAGACCTCTTTTCTGAGCTCTGGAGTGTATAACCAACTCTTCTCTGGCTATTTTCACCTGGATTTTTTTATTGACACCTCCAGCCCAGCCCAAGATGTCTGCAACTAGTTTTATGATCTCTCACACCCAATTCCCTCCTTGCTTTTTATTCCCTATTTCAGGTAATAATTCTACCATTCATCTAGTTGCCTAAGTCAAGAACTTGAGAGTCATCTTAGGCTCCTCTCTCACCCTTCACCTTTATTCACAGAGTTCTAGTGACTGTACTACTGAATATCTCTCTTTAATATTTATACTGAGAGAGGGAGAGACAGAGAGCATGTGCATGTGCACTTGTGTGTGAGTGGGGGAGGAGTAGAGAGAGAGGAAGAGAGAGAATCCCAAGCAGGTTCCATGCTGTCACTGCAGAGCTGACATGGGGCTCAATCGTATGAACCATGAGATCATGACATAAGCTGAAATCAAGGGTTGGAGGCTTAACCGACTGAGCCACCCAAGTGCCCCAGTACTGAATATCTCTTGAGTCCGTTCTCTGAATCATGTCACTTCCCTGCTTCATTCCTGCAGTAACTTCCCAATGACTATGGAACAAAGTCAGATACCCTAAGGTTATATATAACACCCCACTTCGTACTCTCATTTTCTGCCTTTGATCTTATTCTCCAGCCAAATCCAGCTACCTGTGGCTCTGGAAACTGCCACATTCTCTCTTGTTTCTATGCTTTCAACCTTAATATTTTCTCTTAATATTTTCTTAATATTGTCTCTTGGCAATAATTTCTTCCTTTTCCTGTTGCCTTTCTCCCTCTACCATTGGCAGGTTTGGAAACTTCTTTTTCTGGGTCTCAAAGCTCCTTGATACAATCATAATACGACCGACACCACCTCCTGTTGTGTTTGTCTTTACCTGACTGTCTTCTGCACTGTACTGTGAGCACCTTTGGTTTAAGGACTAATTCTTCACATTTTATTTTATTTATTTTATTTTATTTTATTTTATTTTATTTTATTTTATTTTATTATTATTTTTAAAATATAATTTATTGTCAAATTGGCTAATATACAATGTGTAAAGTGTGCTCTTGGATTTTGGGGTAGATTCCTGGGGTTCATTGCTTACCTACAACACCCAGTGCTCATCCTCAATGCCTATCACTCATTTTCCCTTCTCCCTCACCACCCCCCATCCACCCTCAGTTTGTTCTCTGTATTTGAGATTCTCTTATGGTTTGCCTCCCTCCCTCTCTGCTTGTAACTGTTTTTTCCCCTTCCCTTCCCCCATGGTCTTCTATAAGTTTCTCAAGATCCACATATGAGTGAAAACATATGATATCTGTCCTTCTCTGACTCACATATTTCACTCAGCATAATACCCTCCAGTTCCATCCGCGTTGCTGCAAATCAGGCATCCCTGATTCTTCACCTTTATAACTAAGCATCTGTGGTGTGCCTTGTATATAAGTAGAAGCCTAGTAAATGCTTGTTGATTGAATAAAGAGGGTGAAAGATATCTGTGGCTTGAAAGGGGAGAAGATGATAATTGGAAGCTTTGTGCTGATTTTTTTAACAATGCTTTGAGGTTTGCAGATTTGGTTTTCTCCTCTTCAATTCCTAGAGGCACTGGCTTTCCGTATTCATAATATTCCACATGGCAGTGAATCCACAGTATTTCCTGAAGATTTCTGGTTTGCCTGGCCCTGCATTATGTTCTCTAAGGATTACCAAGACTGAGGCCTTAGTCTCCACCCTCAAAACATGCATAATGGAAATGGGGAATTAAAACCAGGTCGTGGCATTAGTGAATGCCAACTTGGTTGCTGCTGATAGTTGTGAGAGAGGAGAGAAGAGGCAGAAAAGGCAGTTGGCAAGTGCTTTGTGGAGAAGGTGACAATTAAGCTGGATGCTGTGAAGAAGTCATTTTCTCTTCTAGGTGGTGGTAGTTCTATTTCTGGTGAGTTTCTTATCTCGGAGTCTGTTCATAACACAAGCCCTTCAGCACCATTTCTGCTCACTTACCGGAACAGTCTTGTTACTCACAGGTGATTTGTCTGCCTGTAGGTGCCTGTTAAAGGGTAACACCTAAGGGAACAGGTGTGTGACACTCCAAAGAAATGGAAGGCGAGAAACAATGAGAGTATCCAACCTTAATTCTCAAGTACAAATTAGTTTCATAGGATTCAAAACCTTTATTCCAGAAATCATTGAACGGAGAGTTTTTTTTGTTTTGTTTTTGGAATAAGTTTTATTATATTCATACTAGTTAAAAAGTCATAGTTTGATTTGGGGGAACTAAGGCTTCAGAAATGGTTGTAAGTATTTAATGCTTATGTGCCTTTTTCCTCAAATGCAGTGATTCTCCAGTAGATAAGCTCATTCCGGAACAGTGGAGGAGAAAGGAATTCTGTGTGCACAGAAAGTAGGGTGAGGTATCTCTTCATTTGATCAGTTTGTGTAAACATATTCCCTTCTACCAATATTCTTTTCACTTGAGGGTTCAGATTGCTACTGTTTGGCAGGAAGGGAGAAAGAAATTCTCTTAATAGAATGTGATTTAATATGTTGAATGACCGTTGGTGCTGTGTCAGTCTGCTTGGGAAAAGAATTTGAAGCAATGTAGATGAGTTAGTGTATCTGGTTGTAAAAACATTTCAGGCATCTTTTGAAAGTAACACTAGACCCTTGCTTTCCATTTCCCCAAAGTTGCTTCTCATTGAAATGTTTCTCCTTGTAGGAATGAATCAGGGAATAACTGGCCCCAGACTCTCATTTGCTGCTGCTTTTGCTATGTCATGCGGTGCCCTAGAGACAGGGCATGAGGCCCAGAGAGCAGAGGGCCAGGATCCAGCCTCCTGAAGCCAGGAAGCTGCTTGCGTCTGACTCACTGCTGAGGTTATCCTGTTCTGCTTCAGAACTGATCCTATTTTGCTACTTCTAGCCAAGCCTTGAATTGGCAGCTGTCGTACAGGTACATGTTCAGGAGTTCCCAGGGAAGCTGGAGCTCCAGCCCCTTATTCTTGGGCATATTTGCAGAACAGAACTGGATGGATCTGAACTATGCAGACATAGAAAGAGAAGTAGCTTTAGTTTCAAAGTGGACTGTGTCCCAGAATGAAAATAAATCAGAAGGAAATCCTGGTGGTCTATCAGCGGGTTATGGTTTATTTGCCTGAAAACTGGCCCACGTATGTGGGGCTGAGTTACTCCAATTAGCTAGACACTTTTGTGGTGAAGGGCTGTGGAAAAAGTGACTTCACTCAAAGAGGAATCCTCCAGCCTTCTACGTTCCGCGTTTGTGAATGGGCACTGAGCACGGCTTCACAGGGACACTTAGACCAAGGAGGAGACCTGCCGCCAGAGCTTGCATTTATCTCTTGTTTCAACGCACCTTTCTCGACGACACACTTAGGAAAGAAAAAGCTCAGAAAACTCTCCTCTACCAGAATCTTCTGCCCATGATAATCCTGGCATTCCCTCCTAACTGCCCCCATAAAGAATTCCTTTTTCCAGCCATCACTGCCATCTGTAACTCCTACTTTCCTGAATTCAACTTTTCTAGCTCTCCATTTCTAAGATTCTCTCTCTTCGCCTGAGTTGTAAGCTGGGTCAGAGTTAAATAAGAATTATCTCTTACAATCAATTTTCAAGGTTAGCATCTTGGGATCTAGCTTAATCAGAGGCCAGAATTTCTCTTGTACTTCATTATGAGTAGGATTGAAATCTAAGATGGTTTTCTGAGAGCAAGATCCTTGCTGTTCCTGGCGTTCACGCAGGCTTTCCTTCTAGGACCGTGGCTGGGTTTTGGCCCTCCAGGTTGTGTATCATCTGCTTGATAGTTGTTGATCAACTATTGTGACCCATCATCTATAAAATCAAGGCAAAATCAGTGCCTCTTAGTAGAATATTTCTGCCTCTGCAAGGCAGCCTGGAGCAGTTAATATTTAATGGGGACTGTGAATGTGGCCGACGGGTCCAGGCTCTGATAGGTGCTGTTCAGGTACGTTATGGTAGATGGGAGTGCCGTGAAAGTAAGAAGACCAGTTGAGGAAAACAGCTGCTGATGTGAGCTCTTTTTCATCTTCTCCATTTTTCCACCCCAGCCTATAATGTGTGCAAACGATACTAAATGTATTTCATAAAATGGTCCTCTGTGAATGAATAAATCATGCAATCCATTTAAAAAATGCTTTTTAGTTTTGGTTTAAAGTCATCCCTGCAGTCACTGCAGAGGCCTGATTCTTATATAACATCCTCCCTAATCTTCACAGGGAGATGGAAGTTTCTCTATGTCTGGGATTTTAATAAATTGAACTATTAGGTTGTAATCTAAGACACCAGCTCAGAAGACAAGGTCCCTTTAGAGTTGTTTAATTTATTATGCACTAAGTGGTGACTAGCAGTGTCTTAAAGAGGCTTCAGGTGACTGGAAAGTGAGAGGTTGGCCACTTTGGGGCTGGTGTACTGCTCTGAATTGTTCCTGAGGTTATCCTTGATTTACAACTGTGTTCCTTAGACATTAGGAAGTCATTGTGGCCACAACTGAGGTTTTCATCTTTCATTGGAACTGATTTTATTGTATTTTCTTGTGGGGGAAACACCCTTCTCTATGTATTATCATGATTTAGTTTAAGCATTTTTGGTTAAAAGCAAAAACAAAAAATTTAAAGATAGGACCCCTGAATAATCTCAGGGTAAATTATAAATATAATTTTGGATTTAATTTGATTGTATAATCAAATGATGCCATATAATTATTAATGGAGTGGTTTGTTTTTTTTCAATCTTCTGTGTATTTGTTTGGAAGTTCATGTTATTTTTTTTTTTTCTTCCCTAGGTGACAGTCCTAACCTTCCTAAGGAGGACACTCCTACCAGTAATCTAGATTCACTTTCCTCCCCATCTCCCACGACTGCAGCTGTCCACGGGCCTCCTGGACCAGACAAAAACCACCTTCTCACAGATGGGGGCAGCTTTGGGGACTGGGCATCCCCTGTGTAAGTAGCTGTGTGTCTCTTTGGTGCTGAGGGAAGGAGGACTGGGACCTTCATTTTGAAGTTTATGTGCTGCATCGGTACTGAAGTGTTGGGTCTGAGGACCTTTGTTCTCTAATCAGTGGGACCACCTGAGGAAGCAGGACACATGAAAAAGGCCTTTCTTGACAGCTTCTCTGAGTTCCCCATGTGGAAAAGTGGATAGGAGCTGTTTCAGATCTGTTTTGAGTTTAATTTGTGGCAGTTTTGGCTTACACAGAGGAAATTTGTTATTGTCCTGCTCAGATACTCGGGATGTCCTCTCACCAGCAGCGTAAACTTTTAGACCTAGGATAGTGTGTGCATTGTGATCAATAGACTCTTGAAACTGTCAGTAGAATGATATTTTAGTTGTTTGAATTTTCAAGAGCTTTATGCCAGTGTTCTCTGTTTTCTCCATAACATGCTGCATACTTGACAACTGGTGAATGAAATATCTGATTTTGTCATCTCAGTTTGGCTTAGTGCCAGGCGTGTGCAGATCAGCTCAGGTATATTAGGACAAATATACCAAAACAAACAATACCATGGTCCTGGTTTGACTACATGGTTTGTCTTTCTGCGTTGACCAAGCTGTGGAATAAATGCGGATTGGTGGTGGGATGGGACATCAAAAGAGTGTCAAATTACAAACAAATGCTCAGAGAACAAAAACAAAAAAAGAATCCCACTAATAATTACATGCCATTACTTGATTAGTCAATCACATTACATCCGAAAATACATTTTACAATTCAGCCTTGAGAGTATTTGGGCGTCTTGTCTTCAAAGTTAAAAAACATTTTTTTTTTTTTTTTTTAAATCAAAGTTGCCTAAAATAAGTCAGAGATAATGATGTCATCTGACCCTAGCTAGGCATTCTTGGGACTTTAAATGGAATTGGAAAGTGTTCCTCACATTACTCGGCTTTTTATAGTTACTGCTGGATTCACATGAAATCATTATGAACTTATTAAGTATTAAAAGGCTGGGAGACATTTGGTATGCTAAAATTTTGGGGTGACCTAAAGACTTTGAAAATGTAACTGAAAGTCCATGTGGAACTCAAAATATGGAAGCATTCTCCAGATGAGATTTATCCCCCCCACCCCAAGATTGTAACACATATATATTTAAATGCCGAAGACTGTGTATTGTGGACTTAAATTGCAAAGTACTCGAACATGCTTGTCATTTTTACTATTTTTTTTTTCCAGAATAAAAATACTCTTTTCACTTTAGTGCTCCAAGCACCAGTGAAAGTGGTTACATAGGAACCTAGAATCTAATCCTGGGCACTCTGGGGGTAGAATTTGCATGGGTGCGTGTGGGTGCATGTGCATGTGTTTAAGCAAAAACCAGATTTCTAGTTATTTCTTTCAGTAAGTGTGTATCATAGTGGAGAATAGTTTAGTTAGTCCTACTTCTTCCGGAGTGGTTCTGTGGGAAAGTGACATTATAAGCCATGATATAGCCAATGCTCAATTCATAGCACGTTCATGCCCGAAACATGAAGAGCTTGATATTTTTGGTCATAAATCAAATGAGGAGTGAATTCCCCAGCTTCCTATTCATACAAATTTTAAAATGTCATGGAAAGCACTCCGACACTGAGAGGCCAAAAAAGCAGGGGAGAAAATAAGTAGCTGAAACAAGTCTGGAAAGATTTGTGTTATAATTTGGACTTCCTCCTACTTCAAGAATTTGGTTCTTTCTGTGTAGTGGATAAAATGTATGTATATTTCTCTGAATTATATAGAGTGTTCCTTGTGTGTCTTTTGAGGGATTTTCTTCTAAGCATATTTCAGTCCAGATTGATCATGAAGCAAGGAATGCATCTCAAGCTTGAGCACACATCAGGATCACCTGGGGGGCTTGTGAAGCCCCCACTGCCGGCCCCTTCCCAGAGTGACCCTGAGGTTTGAGGGCCAATCTCTGAGCATGCATTTCTAGCAGAATGCCAGGTGAAACAGACAAATGTCCCCCTGGTTCCAGGCATGTGTGGTTGTAAACAGCTTCCCTGAGGAGTGCAATCAGGATAAGTGATACCTCTTCTTCACTTTATTTTCTTTTACGTCGTCTGGGATGGTGTGTTCCTGTCTTCAGGTCCCCCTCTGTGGCTCCCCCATACTTTCATTCTCTTTGCCTGAAATATCTCCCCCCTTCTTTGCTCAAGGCAATCTGACTTATCTTTAGGGTCTAATTTAGTTTCCACTCTAAAGAAGCTTTCTCTAGCTCTGTAGTCTACAGGAAGATTCTAAATATCTTTCTCTGTCTATACCCAATAATGGACATTGGGAAAATACTGCCTTCTAGTATTAGGTAATATTTACCTTTTAGTGTTAGTTGATATTTAAGTGGTATATGTGTATGTGTATGCGTATCTATATACTCACAACAGTGTCTCTGCCTGCCTGCCCATTTATGTATTTTAGTTGGTGCAGGCTATAATAACAAAAATACTGTGAGAGCTTATTTATTTACTTCTGCTTAATGACAGAAATTTATTTCCCACAGTTCTAAAAGTTAGATTTCCAAGATCAAGGTGTCTGCATGGCTGGGTTCTGGTGACAGCCTGCTTCCAGTTTGTGGAGTGCTTGCTGGCTTTGTGACTCTTCTTATAAGGACACTAATTCCATTCATGAGGATTCTACTCTCAGTACATCACTGAATTCTACTTACTTTCCAAAGACCCCACTTCCTAATAGCATCACATGTGAGGAGGTAGGATTTTAACATACGAATTTTGGAAAGACACAAACATTCAGTCCACAGTACTATCTTTCCCTCATTCCAAGATAGATTATAAAAATTATTGATGATAGAAATTGAGTTTTATACTCTTCGAACTTTTTAGTGATCTTAACGTAGTTATTAAAGTAAGAAATAGAACATTATGCATTTATAAAAATGGTCTCCTTTTGGAAATCTTTCTTTCTGTATATCACTGAATGTAAAGTAACTGTGTTTCATTTCTGCTCCATCTTCCTTCTTCCTTGTAGAGATTAACAGCTCTTCCTCCAGGAATTTCACAGAATTAATCTCACCATTTTCTCTTTAGAGCATTTTTCTTTGTTTCCTTACCATTTGTAAATTTGTTTCTCATTGTGTGGTGTTTTTGTTTCTTTTTTTTTTTTTTTTTTTTCCAATCCATGATCTCTGCACACAAACTATACAGTATTGAATAGAATAGGCTCTGAGTAAATACTGATTAAGACTCCTTTTAATGAAACTAAAATTGCTGTGGGGTCATTAAACCTCTACCGAGGGCTTTAAAAAAGGAGGCAATGCCTGGACTGCCTGGTTTTAATCCAGGGTAGTGATTCTATATTACAAAACATACACTTGCCTAATCTCATGTTCTGAAAAATCGACAACTGTATATGGATCACATAGGACCCCGGTAGCTCGGCTGGAAAGAAATGCCATGACCCTAGCCACCGGAAAGCACATTTGCAGAGGGAAAGCTACAGCAGCAGAGATTCTGATCGGGGCAGTGTGTAAATACAGCAGTAGCCTCTGACAGGTAGAAAACAATACAGCAGAATTGGATTTCTTGGGTTTCTGCTGATGTTTATGACTTGTGGGTATTATTCATTGCAGTCAATCAATCTGGAGCTATTACTTACCTGTACACTCAGTAAGGTGATGGGTGACTTCATTGCCAGTGAAGAATTGCTAGCTCAGTCTCCTTGGGGGACATTACATCATAGGTCAAGGTATTTCAGATGTTCCGAAGTCATTTTTTTTTTTTTTTTTCCAATAAAGTAGTTTTCTCTAAACAGATTTTCTTCCATTGTAAATGATGGAACAGGTTCTTGACAAGTAATCCTTTTAGGTTCCCAGCCCCAAAAGAAATTCTCTTGTAAGAAATAGCAGCCATTGCTATCTGCTTCCCCCAAGATTTCAAATGAAAAGGAACAAACTCCTTTTGTGCCCGCACTTTCCCACCTTCAAGATGGCGGCATCATAGAATAGTTTTTTGTAGCTGGGAATGTTGGTATCCCAAGGTATGGTTCACTGTGTGCTCTGGCAGGCCAGCCGGGCAGTAGATCCTTCTGTCCCATCTGATTAGAGGCTTGGCTTAGTTTATGCTGAATATTAAGAAAGTCCTAACCCATCTTTCCCAGTTGCTGCCCAGAGCTCCTCTTGTGCAACAGATTCATGCCTACCCAGACTTGATGCTGGTTGCTTGAAACCATCTGACAGTAGATTCCCACTCTCATTTACAGCCTTGGGCTGCATGTCGTCTGTAGGCTTAGTGTTGCACTCGCTGGTAACCATTTGTATTCTTATCAATGAAATCACTTGCTTCGTTTGAGTTGTGCAAATAGAGGTCCCATAGACAACTACTTGGCATTTTAAATTACTTGACTGTTGGTTCCATGATTGCTTTTTGGAAGTTGATGAAAATATTTGGTGGGCGATCTCACAGTACCTTTGAAGTTTGATTTGTGCCTTGGTGTACCATGACAAACCATGAGTGATTTGTGTGAAGTTTGGAAAACTAATCACCTTAAAACAACTTTTAACAGATGTCTGTGAAATTTGGCATACACCTAGAAACTCTAAGATCGCGGTCATAGGTAAGCTTTGTCTCCACCTCCTCTTCCTCTCATTTTCTTCCCATTTACTGTCTTTTCCACCCCTTCAGGGAGGGGCTACTTCAACCCCATCACTTCTTGATTTTACAGCTCCCAACCCTTCTTGGGCCAGGGGCAGTCAGTTCACCCTAGAAATTGGTATCTCATGTTTTTCCCTCTCTTGAAATGATCATTGTTTAAAAAGAAAATAAGGAATTTATCTTTTAAAACTTTTTTTTCCCCCCACATCTGTTTTTTTTTTTTTTTCCCCTGACTTGACTAAAATGAACACAGAGTACTTTTGTAGCAAAGGGAAGAAAGCTCTGTAAATTTAAAAAGATCTGGCAAAGGACAAATCGCCCATCATAGGAATTTCCAGCATTGTTAGTGGTTAATGGGGAG